GGTGAGGTGGTCGTGTAATGAATTGTGTGCCAGGCAGCTTGATGTTTTGTTTGCTGCTCAATTTACTCAGACAGTTAATCACATTGCGTGAAAGCTAATGTCATTAGGAGAGCTTCGTGCTCCGACTTCATCCCCACATGCTTCCTCTTTCTTTCCTAAGCTATAGCGAATAAATTTGCCATCAAATTTGATGTCAATTCTTCAATTTTCGTGACTTTAATAAGGATAAAATATGTTTTCGACCGGGTTATACATAAAAATATTTTATTATTTTTTGGTTAATGTAAACACAAATCTAATTAAACTAAAACTAAATTTAAATAATCTACTATTAAACACTCCCTTCCTTTGTGTAATATAGTCCTACTTTAATTGATAATAAATTGCGAAAATGTTCTCGGTCAGCTAGCTTAAACATAATGTTCCATACATACATTCGCCTTAAAGATGCCCAACATATGCCAAAGAAAGTCCAGCCCCGAACAATTGATCAACTTTCCAGCTATTGTGTTCATGTATTGGAGTCGGTCGACACCCTTTCATTATTAGCATCCATTCCTGCCTGTACCCCTTTGATGCCCCCAGATTGGTGAAGACTCCGCCACACTGCAACAATAGCTCCCGGATATTGGGCGTATAAAAAGTTACATATGTATGGCGTAACTTTAGTTACCAATTGAGGGAGTGTGTTCACTTGGCCCCGGGGTCCTCAATTAATTTCATTTAGGGAGTGGCGCACAAGGAGGCCGCAGGCTGTAGCTAAACACATTCAAACAAAAGAAACCACACAGCCAGACACACACAATATTTTCAATTAAGCTGCTGCAATACCAGCAGAATAATAACAATTACAACATGTGCGAGTACAAGTAGAGCAGCATGCTTTAAAGGAAATCGTTTGCAGAGAAGTCAGTTATCCTTTCCTGGAATTGAATTTTCTTGTGCACTCCCTCGATTGTCGATTAAAATAATAAAGAAAATTAAAAGCTTTTCTTACACATAAGCATAAGCCTTCCGTTATAAGTTCTAAACTGCACCCAGTTCAAAAGATGAATTACATTAAATATTACGTAAGATTTAGTTATTTAAATACCCAAGATATAAATAAATACCCAAGTATATATATATATATATATATATATATATACTATTTATAGTAAACTCAGAAGTAAGGCTCTTCAGTCTGTCTAACCTTGTTCAAAATCAACCCGCAAACAAGCCACAATTAAATGTGGGAAATAGGTGATGATGTAGGTTCGAGAAGACGTAGACGTTTGTGCTGTAGCAATTACAGAAATACACGACAATGGAGTTGGGCAAAGTTACACACTGTTCGGTAAATGAATTGCTGACAATTAATTGAATTTGTTGGCACAGTCAGCTGTGGTAAGCTGGAAAACTTTGAGAGCGGCAATCAAAGCAGCCGCCACAGCGGAAGCCCCTTGATGAGACCCTAAATCCTTGCCCTTTGCTGTGGCAATTGAAGTTGTTCTTCTCCTGGTTATGGTTATGTCACACCAAACTTTTCTATTGCATTAGTTTTCTGTCAATAATAATAAAATTCCCCACAGTGGGCACACAGACTAAAGCATAGAACTTTACGCTGGATTTTGTGTGACAATCAGTTGGTTAAATAAACATTATTTCGTAATTTGCAACCAAGCAATTCCAACCAAATAAACCTAGAAAAAAAGAGAACCATTTCAGTTTGAAGAGCAGTCATTCAACACTTTTCCCAATCAAATATTTATATCCTTTGAGGAGGTCATTTACATATATTTAGCTGGCCAAACAATGCCATGAATAAACAATTAAACGTTTTTGAGTGTCCAAGACAGACAGTGAACTTCTCGGGAAAAACAAAAGACCCACACTCAACAACTTTCCGGAAGTGCTTTTATTCGCTGCTTTCAAGAAAAGAATAGAGTCGCAGCTTCTTAGGTTTCAAACTGGACAATCAAAGAGTCAACAGCTTGCCATAAAAACGCCAACCGGCAGTCGCAAAGTGCAATTCAAAATATGCACGTGTTAATTATTTATGCCCAACTCCTTGCCCAGAACAAATTCCACGCCCGGTCCGATAAATCAACTGGCCATAAGAAGCTATCGCCTGGTAAATTCCGGCTTTTGCGCAAGAAAAATAATTCCTTGGATAAATTATACAAATTATTATTTAACTCCTTGCGGCACAAACGACTTGCAATTGGAGTTGCATATACAGTGGGAAAAAATACAGAAATACTTATTAAAGAATTTCTGAACCTTGGTGTATCATTCTAGAAATGGAATACATAAATAACAGCAGTCAAAATAATAGTTGTGGAAAAATCATTTTTTACGGATCAATTTCTTTTAAATATTAAAAACGTTTATACCTTTGATAAGTGTGAATTTTTACATTTGCGAAACGTATTTTATAGCATTAGCTTTACGAAAATATAAACAAATATTTAAAAGTTGCTTCAAAACTATTTTTGATTGAAATTTCCATAGCTAAAAAACTGGTATTATTTCGACCTCAACTGTACGTCTATGCTCAAGATCAGCAGTTTAACATACCTAGCCGTAAATCATTTTGGTTAACATTTTAAAATTTCCGAACCACTGTTTCTCTGTGCACTTCTTGGCATGTGGCTGGGTTCTTGGTCTCGCTCCAAAGTTATGCACAGACAAATCGCTTATTTAGATTAGAGCTGACAAGCTAGGTGGGGGAAGAGGCAGCCAGAAGTGGGAGCCGCAGCACGCAGGCGCGAATACATAGATACAGATACATATATCCGCAACTGGTTGCAAGATCTTCATTCCCCAGCAATTTGGTTTTTTTCTATTTGCTTGACCAGAGGCGTGTTTATGTTGTTCAACAAACTAACAAACCGTCTACTTAGGTTAAGCCCAGCAACTATGTAATTGAGGGGCGAATCCGCTGCGAACCGGTGATCATTTTCAATTAGGGACCCCATCGTGGGGCGTGATTTAGAAGCTGTTGTGGGTAAGGCGGTAGCTTGACTCCGATTATGGGATAAGTGCGGGAGCATCGTTTATAAAGCCAAGCTAACGAACCAATGACTCGAAGCACTTTGTAGATTGTTGTTAGATTAGCGTTCGTAATAAATGAGGCTTCTCGTTGATGGAAGGAGCTGGGTGTTGTCTAGACTTATGATTGCGAAACAGAAAGTTGAAAAAAGGAGAACTCTCTACCTGAGTCTACTGCGCATTTGTCATAATAAAATTAGCATTTGCCTGGGTCAACAGGAGTCGCAGGACAGCAGGATAGCAGGATAGCAGGACAGCAGTCACAGGATGCAGGACAACTGGGGTGTGGCGGCAACGGCAAAACTTATCAGCGTGTTGACAGACCCGCCGACCAGACAAGGAAGCCACTGAACAATCTGGAGATACTGCCCTAGAATTAAGACACCCTTTTCGAACATTGCAAGACTTTTACTCAAGCAGTTTTTAATGAGGGGAAAAAAAAAAATAAAAGTTGTCTCAGAAAAGAAGTAGGGTTTTTTTTACTATAAGTTTACATTTAAATTACTTGGAATATTCTTTAGTTATAAAAATAAAAAGCCTCTCAAGTTAGGGTATACATACTTTTGTATAAATAATTTTTTCTTTGAGAGCATCTTCTATCGTTGGCCTGTTTTATATGCCAATGCATTTCCCATTCACTCTTTTCCTATAAGTGGATAGATACTAAACCGTTTCCTGTCTGGCCAATAAACTTTTTTAAGGGCAAAAAAATATTAACGAAATGGCCGATTCAATTGGAACTCTATTAGCCACACATTCGATTCACATTCGCTTTCGATTCGCTTTAAATGGCCAACAAAGAGCGGGGAATCCTTCAAACTCGAAAATCCGAAACTAGCGAATACTTTGAATGGCCAGCGGCAATATTGTGCTGACTGAACGGAAAGAGTCCGGCATGTAAAGCGAAATCAAATCACGTACAGTGTCCGTTTCGTTACTGGCCAATATCTGCTGGCCAAATTTCACGCAGCTGCAGCAAATCAAAGAGCAAAATGCTGGCGACTCTACAGAAGGAGACCGCCTGCTGGGTCGAGTGCTAAATAAATGGAAAATTCTAAAATTTTAATAAAAATTGTCGCAATATTGCAATAAAATTCGCATGATTGGCGGTCCACCGTCCTGTTCCTCGGTTCAGGCATGTTTTGATTTTTAAAACAACCATGGGTATCACGTGCAAATGCAATCGTATTTTTTGAAACGTCAACTGCAACACTATTTTGATAAATTTAATCGCGTTAGTTTTTTTGTGCACTCTTTGTATGTATCAGTTGAATTGGGGATTTTGTTGTTAAGTCAGAAATTTTATCTGAGCTCGATGTGCTTGCATAACTGGTATTTAAATTGTTCAAATCCAGTTGGTACCTGTGACTTTTGAAGTCTTTTAGTTTTTTGCTCTACAAAAGTTGCATTTCATTAGGCAGCCACGGCTAATTAATGTGCTTTTAAAAATTATATTCAAATTCAATTTATGAAACAAAACCTTCTCATAAACCTTACATAAAAAATTAAAATAAATATATATCCCTAAATACATCAGTGCTTTTGTGCTTTTAAGTAATTTTCTTCAAAATGTTGTGACTGCTGAAACAATAGGTTTAATATTCGCTATTTTTTTTTGTAAGCCTACAAAAGCAAATGATTTTGTGCCGATGCCCAGAAAATAAATTTAATTGAATTTCATGCAGTTTTTAAAGCGAAACTATCAGATTAATTAATAATATTTATGTGCGGTATTGGGCACACGCTGAAACCAGCGGAAAGCATTGTTTGCTCGTTCGATTTTGACAGATACATAATTAGTTTTTGCACACCATAAGGCCGCAGGTGCCGTTGCTGTTTTTATTTCTCCGACAATTTATATATATAAAATGCGTGTATTTTTTTGTAGCCACAAAAGCCGTCTATGCCGGCGAATTTTATGCACCAGAGCTGGGAATGAATTTATATAAATGTTTATGGATATTTACCTCGAGCGGCGGCGGCGCCAATGCAAAAGCCGAATAGCAGCAGGCGGCAGAGCCAACTGGATGTCCTTGTCGCCATTTTGTCGAGCTGCGAAAATGGCGGGGTCTTTGGCGTCTTTGGCGCCATTGCGTTTTGCTTTGCCAAAAAAATGTCACAATAGCTGAAAAGAGAGTGGCGAAAGAAATGGATAGAAGTGTTGAGATATTTGCGTGCAACTCGCAGTCCTACTGCAAAACAGTTTTATTTCTTAGCTAGAGTCAGTAAATTTAATGCAAAACATTTACTTTCAATTACAATTGGTGCCGTGCTGTTTTCAATGGTCCCACTTTTCAGGCAGCACATTTTTGCGCACCATAAAATTCAAATCAATTTCGCTAATTAGCAAAAGTCTCTAGTAACTTTGGATAAAAACAAATTTGTTATTTACTCAGGAAACTTATACAGAACTTAAAAATTTGGATAAACAATAACTTTTATTTACGTTTGTTCGTTACTTAATACAGAAAAATTAAATATTAATAATGCTTATTTTGTTTAGTTTTAAATGAACAATCAAGAAAAGAAATGTATTTTTATATTGCAGAATACACAATAGCTTTATTGTATTACTTAAATATCTTTATTCCCGAGCTTTTTATCCAGACCCAAGAATATTAATTGGTGAGCAGAAAGGTATATTGTAGTCCCCTTTATTATTTCACATTAATTTCTTTTTCTGGAACCCCACCGAACGCCTCGTTTGCTATCATTTCCACAATTTCCATTCGCTCATCCTCTCGGCTTTTGTCTTCGCCATTTAATAAGTTAATTGTTACTACTGCTGCACTTTTGTTGCTTTTGAATTTATGATTAGCCGCAACCACCGAGCGGTGCAATCAGAAGCCAAGTATTTAATGTTCAAGGACTTCCACTTCCAAGACGTGGTCCACATCCACTGCTCATATTCCCACTCACTACGCCACCCATTTGGGCAGCCAGTTCGAGTTGGCCAAGTTTACTTTAAGCCAGCAGTGACAGTTCCTCATAAATGTCAACTGCTGCGGTCCTGCTGCGCTTTATGCAGTCCGACTTTTATGCATTTATAGTGCTTCCTCTTTGATAGAATTCTTAGCTGCCAAGGACTCCACATAGTCCTGTTTCCCCCGTCGCAGGACCCACTCCGTTCCACAACCTCCATCGCATCTTGACTCGTCCGAGTCATTATTGTCGTCTGCTTTTTCACTGGCAGCGGCCGCTATTACTGCTGCCTGACTTTGTGTCAACTTCATAATTATAGTTTTCTGCTATTTTCTTATAGTTTTTGCAACAAAAAACTTTTATTGAGCTGGGCACAGTGGTTTTGAGATGCTTAAGTGTACTTCTTCCACTCGGTGCTTAAGAATTGTATTTAACATTAATAACCAATTACTAATGACTTCTAAAATTGAGCATTAAACTACCGTGTTCAGAAAATAATAACATAAATGGTCTTTAACTCTTTCGATTTAAGTTCTGAATTCTTTTATATGTATGTGCCTTATTTAATTCATTTCAAATGGTAATTTATTTAATTTAGAATATTTTGTATATATAAGAGATTGTGTTGAAGTTTAAGCCATAATAAACTATACCAAAGCAAGACTAAATTTAATTGAAATTTAATCGGTGCCCACGGTTATAGAACTTAAAGTTGGTCTACATGGAGTGCGGCAGCAGCCATACACATAAAGCTGCGGAGATTCTATTAACCCGAAAAATTATGAGAAATGAAAACTTATTACGAGAAGTCATTAAGATTCAAAGAATTAAAACTTGAAAAGTAAAACTGAAAATGAAGCAAAGCCAAAGCCAAAGCCCTGTTGAACCGATGTTGCTGGAGCTTTTGCTCTATATATATACATATATATAAATATATAGTACTATAGTAGTTTCTGAATCGGGGAAGTCGGACAGCCGTACAAAAACTGTCGACTACTTATGACAAAGCCGAGGGGGTAAAGGGGATAAAGAAAAGGCAGAGCCTGCGTCACTAACAGCGCGTTTTCCTCCTTTTAAGTTTCAACTACTTGGGCGGCAAAGGAAAGTCATAATTGTTAATGGGCTTTTAGCTTAAACGAATTTTTACTGCGAAAATGCCGCTGCACTGCTAGTGCATAACACAGAGTTCTGTTTAAGTTTTAATTAGATTTTTAATATTACCAAATGTAAAATATGTCAGGCGCGGCAAGTTTGATTAAAAAAGTTTCGTTCGTGATGTATGTTATATTATTTTTTTTGCGTTACTGCACTGTGATTTTCCATTTTCATCGTTTTTTTCCTTGTTGTTGTATTTTTAATGCACGCCTGGTTTAATGAGCCGGCTATTAAGGCGCACCATCATTACGCAATGTCAGTTGGCACTTTTATCAATGTTTCCTGTCAGTTTCGAGAACTTTGCGCCACGTCACGACGTCACGAGTGTCAGCGCCAGCGATTTTCATATTCATTGTGCATTTTTATCAGCCATTTGCCGACTCATTAAGCCAACATCAATGTTCTGACGACCACCTCCCAATTTTCCCCTGTGGCCCTGATTCCGATTCTTCTCGGTGATGGCTTGGCTGCATTTAAAAAACGTCATTGCCGATTGAGTTTTACATGCTTTTAATTGACGTCGTCATGTAATGAAATTCGATTTATATAAAAGTCATTAATAGTAATTCATACTGATGCCACACACTACCTGGGTGCAGAGAAAAAAGCTAATAAATCAAGATTTTCATTATCTTAAAACATAATTTTATTTTACTTTACATTTTCGGTAAAAGCTTTTTATCCATTTTAAGTTGAATTTTTATTTGTGTTTTAATATAGTAGGTATTAAAATAAAACAATATTATTCGACTCGTTTCTTAAAAAAACGTTTTTATAGTCACCGTTTTGCTTTCAAAAATAATAATTTATCGTGTCCTTGATATTTTAAGTAAATAATTAATTTACTCTTATATAAAAAAAAATATATATATAAAATATATATTTCTGTTGGAATTTTTCTCTGTGTACAGTGACACACACTTCTACTTAACTCCAGCCAAGTAAAGTCAAGTTCCCGACATGAATATGCAGCACGTGAGCAGACGAATGGGTACATCACGTCCGCTTTCATACCCTTTTCTCTACACATGTGTACACCTATATAGGAATACATATATAAAGTGTGTTAAACAACAATATCAGCCATCAAACATGACGGTCAAGTGTCGGACAACATTAAAATTGAAAATTCGTAATATATTTGAGTGCTTGTGTTCTCTATTAAAAAGTTCTGTTATGTTATTTGAGCTTGTGCACTTTTGCGTCTGTGCAATTTTCATTTAAAATCAAAAACAGTTTTATTATAATTGTTATGATATAAGCTTATCATGCTATGATAATTACAAACTTCGAAATGCTTAAGGCGTTCTCAAATGAGTATGCCTATGAACTCTATAAATAAATGGCTTCCGAAAGTTGCAAGACCCCGAGTTTTAAAACGGTATAATATGATATGTTTGTTTGGCTGTTTAAATCTGTGTCAGAATAAAATATCGATTAATTGAAGAGCGAAGGAATTTCTAACTTCTTACGTATGACTTATATTTTCAGATTTAGCTGCCAACGAATCCTCCTTAATGTAAATCATGGCAGAAAAAAAAATATCTTAATGTCGAGATATCGGAAATCTTATTTGTGACATAATACGCCAGACATTTATAATTTGCATTTAATACAGCACTCAGTTTTACGAAACAGAACAAAACCAAATCAAGTTTTGTCTGATAAAATTAAAGTGAGATTAACAACCACTTAGGGCTCATATAATTTAATGGCCAAATATTTTTCTGGCCATTACGTCGATGACTGGTAGCAGGTTTTTAAAGTCGCGTGCCCGCAAAAATAAAATACGTACATATACAAATGATAAAAAGAATGCGAGAAATACAGACAAAGAGGGAGGGAGAATAAAATCGGTTGTCACGATTTCAATGAACATTAAAAATCCCACCATGCATTGAAATTGCGGCCAAAAGCATTTTAATTAAAGTCGTCCAGCACCGCAACGGTCTAAATTGTTGTTCATTCACCAAAAATATTAATTGACTTTTCCGCTGGCCGTCTCGTCGCGCCGGTCCGAAAACATCATTAACGCAAATATAATTACGTGACAATTTGATGCTTTTGCCCAGGCACAAATCGCAAATCAAAAAGCGAAATTAATTACACCCAGCACCCCGTCAAAATCGAGGCGTGCTGAGACACCCAAGGGATCAATCAGTGCAAAGTCGCGAAGGTAAACAATAAAGCTCCAGCCGCGTCATTCGGGACAACATAGCTCGATCCGCAAATTCCAGTGTCCAGTCAAGCGACTGGGGCATAAAAAAAGGGTCGCCGACGCTGTTTAACTTTGAAAAATTAAAATCCACTTGGGTCCCTTGCGCCAACCCCTCCGAAAACCAACAGCGAAAAAAAAACACCACCCCTCGGATAGTCTCGCATTTTTCAATGGCCAAATAATAAAGTCCCCAAATGTCAGTTGGGAGTTATAATCTGTTTGCCGCTTTTTCATGGTCGCCATTTGACTGCCCAGCAGTGAAAAAAGGGTATATTAAGTAAAGTAAAGTTCATAACGAATGTCAATTAAATGGTGACATTATTTACATAACTGATAATAATAAATAATGATGTCGAAAAACGTTAATCAGAAATAAATATAGGTTAGTTGCCAATTACTTTAAATGTATTAATTTACAAGGAATATAATATTCATCTAGCTAATAGCTTGTAAAATTTTAAATTAAAGATAGTTTTATTTGTAATGTAATAAGCACACAATTTCAAAATTTGAGACTTAAATCTAATATTTTATATAATTGAAAGGGTAATTCTTAAGTCGACCTCCTTTATTCACCGTAAAATATAATAAAAAATAATAAAAATCGTGTTGTTCCTTTTGTCTGGTTTGGACCCTCCGACAATGCCGATTAAATGAAACGTAAATTTGCAGCAATTACGAGGGTAAATATGCATTAAAATAAATTTGCATGCAATTATTTTTGGCACATCAAAGTCTCATTGAATTCATCAAATTATCATCAGATTTATCACTGCTTTTCTTGTTTTGATTTTTCCCTTCGTCCTGGACTAATTACCAACTAAAATAAT